TACGACTCTTTATCTATATGAACCTCCACTGAGATAACCTAGGAGGCGCATCAGTCTCTAGATAAGCAAAACTCCATAATAAGCACTTATCACCAGTGTGTTTTGCCTTGAGTGTTCCTGTGAATTATATTTACTACATTGCCCAGTAGTTGTTACTTATGTTCCTTCGTAACAAATATTATTATGCTCACATATGTAGTAATGAATGTGCATCTGCAGTACTACAGATTTTTCTTTTTTTCATAATAAGCAAGCTTTACTGTCTCATTGTGACAAATTTGATTTGATCAATGAATAGCTTTTGGATGCTGAATTAACAGATACCAGGTCCTTTAGAAGGGAACGCAGATATAGACGAGGGACGGAACTTGATTAACCACGTCATAATTTCCTGGAAAATGCGGTACTGTTAACTTAATCTCTGAAGGATATACTTAAATGAATGAAAGGCGGTCAAATGTTACTTTGTAAAGATTTGATTAAAACTGACAGTGTACCCCATAGTTTCGTGACATCAATATGGCTAAGGAAAATGGAATTTCTGAAGGAATACCTAGGATCACTTCGGTCATTGAAGTTCCGCCTAACAAGATCGCCCTGCAATGCTACGTACTGTACCCACGTTAGAAATTGTAAACTGAGCGAATGTAAACCGAAAGTGGCTCTCAACTCACGCTAAATCTACAAATCTTTACATCTGGCAATGTAGATCCCGCGAATTTCGGCGAATATTTACGAGAAGAACAAATATTTCCAACTATCTCCCATTTGCATGCCAGAGAAGTGAGAATGGCGAAGGGAGAAGGTGGCAGTAAAGCCACTGATCTAATTAATTACTTCCATGGGTCCTAGAGTATAACTTGTCTTTGTTTAACCATTTAACCCACTCCTAGCTGTCCCTTGCCTCTACAACCTCCAACCCCCCCCCCCCTCATGTACACATCTTAAATAAAATGTTTCAGTATCTTTCCTGGAAAGGCAGAGTGTTTTGTCAATCATCTGGAATTAAGGGAAACGTGTTTTTAGTCTGTATAAGATTTGATGCACAGCAGCATGTATCAAGCTTATTACTAATAAGTTAGTCTAAGCCCCTCACCCCCAAGATCACTCTAGGTCAGGGGTTCTCGTACTTTTTGGCTGCAGCAAAACATTTCTGATAATCACTTTTCCCTGTCTCCGTGCATCTACTTGTCTGTCACTGTATGTATGTTTGTATGTATGTTTGTATGTATGTATGCGTGTACGAATGTACATGCATACATACATACAAACATACATACATACGTATGTATTATAGAACATCGGGCACCGCTACCAAGTGCTAGACGCTTTAGGATGGGTGGTGGGTGAAAGAGGTGGAGGAGGAGGAGGAGGGAGGAGGGATTGCAGGATTTCGCGATCCCTCCTGTGGTCAGAACCCCCAATCTGAGAACCAGAAATTGGGAACTACTGGCGTAGAGTGACGTCACAGAAAGTATCTCGTTTTCATCGTTGCGTATAAGTCTATACTGATTTGTGTAGAGGTAACAATTCCATCCATTTTCTTCCATACTTCTATACCATAAACAAGTGTCGCTCAAGCTTTTTGGTTTGCTATATCCCTTGTTGCATCATGCTACTACGTGTAGGAAGACAATGCGCACGGCACCACGGTCACGTAAGAATAACAAATTCGAATACTGGACTCCTACACGCAAATGAGACGGATATTGTTCCTACTGCACAGGCCTCGGCAAGATTATGTCTACCACGAAACTTTCAGAATGACCAGAGATGTCCTTACAGCAATTTCGCTCCACCCAAGATCATGCCAGGTTATCAGTTTGTATAACATAGTGTTGCTTGTAGACACCCATCCCCCTGCTCTTCTTTCACATCTTGCCACGGCTCTCTCTGGACAATGCAGACTTTGTAGAACCACGGTAGACGGGTCTTTCTGATAGAGGGACGGAACTCCTGAACTGATGTAATTCTATTGTTTGTCTGATGTGTTATACTTGTTGTTTTTATGTTACAGTTGTTTGTATTTCTGAGCGTATGTGTTTAAATTGTCATGAATGTAAACAGTAACAGTATCATCCCATTTCTATCACATGAGGTATGCAGTTGAGATAATGAAAACTATTTCGTGTGTAATCTCATAGCCTTTTGGGAAGATGTGAGAGTAGTTGTTACTCTTTAAAAAGAATTACTGAAGAGAACCCTTAGTAATATTAATTAAAAGGTTTTATACGTTTAGAGATAGTAATCAATGTATATATAAAAACTCTACCGTTTAGTGTTACTACTTTTAGGAAAACCGCCATCAATACCGCAACAGACCTGTCTATCTTATCACATTCCTTCCCCAAGGTCTGATCCTACCTCTTACTGCCACACTTCTCGTCTTGTTTGAATCCTACTACACAACACTAATGAATGTATTGTTGTATGAGGAAATGTACTTTCATTATTTTTCATTGATCACTGCAATGAGATATTCATAGCAACTGAGATAATT